AGAGGGGCACTTTACTGTTCTGACACAGCACTTACAACTAATAAGCCTTTGCGATTTGGCCGTGCTTTGTGTGGCCTGCTGACACTGGGTTACTGCCGAGACAGCACAGAGAGCGTGAGCTATGCAGCCCGGTTACCTGGGCTCTGGTCCTGATCTCACTAAGTAACCTTGGGCAGTACACTTAATCCCTCTGCCTCAGTTCTTTGTTTAATTTGTTTGAGGCTTTTGCCTGAATTTTAAAGTAACTAATTTTTTGTGTATTTACTAAAGATAAAGCTCTCGGTCTCTAGTATCTATTTTTCCAGCAAACATTAGTAACTAGTGTATCATAAGTGATGTAAATAAAGCAGCCAAAGGTTGGGTTAGATAGCAGGCAGTGTCAGTGAACTGGGATTGATTTTTTTTTTTTTTTTCTTATTCCAGGAGGGTCACTGAAGCAGCTCTAGAGTACAGAGGAACAATTTTTTTCTTAAAGGGCCTAAACAGCTTATACTTGCCACCAACTTAACGTCCCTGTTAAGTTAGTCAGATTCTGGCCTTGCATTTTACAAGCAGCAGCTATGGACGGTATGTAGACACGTGGCCATAGCTGCATTCCAAGCAAAATTTTACTTACTAAAATACGTGGCTGTGCTGGTTATGTGGAGACCTCTGCCCAGGGCACTTGAGTCATGTCTGGTGCCCCACACCTGGAGCCGGGAGTGTTGAGAAGATGCCAGCTCCACGCCCTCATCACCACATAACCGTCTCGGGTCACACCAGAACAGCAGAGGGTCTTGGCCTAACAGTCACCAGTGTGTCCTTTTAAAGGGTGACATAGAAGCCACTTACTCAAGGGCTTGGAGCATATTCTTGAGATGCGAGCCTGAGGTTGTGGAAAGGATCAGGGTTTGTTTTATTTGGTGGATACAAATAGAGACTGTTTAACTCTATAATCCACATAGAAAAGGTTTGTGAGCCAACTGAAAGCTATTTGTAATTGTGCCTGTTGGCACACTGAGGGCTTTCTTCTAGGCATGTTATTTATATGGTTTTGGACCTTTTCTTTCTTATTTTTCAGTTTAATAATGAGCTCTTGTTTTAAAATTAGACGTGCCAGTGGACCTTTCTCTGAGTGCTGACTGAGTTTGTATTTATAGTCTAGGTCTGTTTCTGAGGAAGTGACTAACGTCGCTTGCATTCCATTAAGACTGAATAACAAAGACCATCTTTGAGTCCTGGAAACCGGGCCTATGATGAAAACTCAGAAAGCTGATGGTTAGTGTTTATCAGTGCTTTTATGTATTCAGGACTGCTTGGGCCAGATAATCAGAGCTTTGTGCTGAGGGCCAGGTTGGATACTGACTGCCCCTCAGTAATCCAGGGGGAATTTCTGTGGGCAAGTTCAGGCAGCACTTAACTTTCTTGTGGTTCCTTTTTACTTAGATGTGTTAAAGGGGTTGTTACAAAGTGTTAAGTGTAGACTTTTCCTCTCTTTAAAGTATCTACCAGAACCCTTGACGTATATCCAGCAGAGATGTACTGATGGGGTGGTGGGACCCGGGAAGTGACTGACTTAGCAAAATCTATTATGTCTAATTATTCTTTGTCACGGGCTGAGGCTTTTTTTGTGGTACTGTAATAAAATACTTGAGGCTGAACAAGTTATAAAGGGAAAAAGTCTTCTGAGGGTAGGGCTCAGCTTTGTATGCCTGGGCTTGTTCTTGTAGCCAGTGATGGTGGGCTGAAGGGTGAGCTGGTTCAGCCTTGGCTGCCTTTGGTTCTGGGATCCAGGCCAGAACTCACATTTTCCCAGAAGGACCCGGTAAAGATGACGGTTGGGTCTGGGCCTAGAGCTCACTGTAGAGTGCTTGCCCAGTCCATGCTGGGGCCCTGGACTCATTCCGCAATATCGTTTTTTAGAAAGGAGAGAGGGGACAGGGGATGACGGTGTGTTTCACTGTGCTTTGCTAGCTCACCGGGTTTCACACTGGTGAAGTGGTTTTGATTGTTTGCTTTCATCGCTTCACTCCTCACAGGGCTTTGTGCTCTTAGCATCTGTTGCCTTTATCACTCCTGTTGATTGTTTGTCCAAGCAGCTCAGGGAGTCACTTTAGCTAAGGTGTGCAGAATTATAATACAAAGGAAGGTAAAATTGCTCTGCCTGCTGTCACCCATGGCCACTGGCTCCTGGCTGTTCTCAGAAGCGCCTAGCTGGCATTCCTACACGGTTGCTTTCAAAGCACACACATCTGAGAGCTCACAACCTCCTAAACACCAGCTCCACGGGATCTGACACCATCTCCACACGCGCGCGCGCACTCACAGGCACACACACATGCTCTGCCTCTCTCTGTCTCTGTCTCTCTCTCTCACACATGTACACTCACACATATACACACACTCACACACATGTATAAATCTTTTAAAAAGGGAAATGGATTATCAGTTGAACTTTATTTTTGGAGTGCAGCTTGATCTGAAATCAGGCTTGTCTGCATAACTGCCATTGACTGCGAAAGTGTGTCTATGAAGCTAACTTTAAGAAAAGCAAAATGAACAGATACTTCCCTGGTGGGATTGGATGGGTGTGAGAAACTCCTTGAAGACCGTCTGTGCGTCCGTTCAGGCCTGAAATGCCCTGGCCACAGTGTTCTGTTTCAGTGTTGGACCTGTTGCTGGCAGTCTTATAAAAAGAGGAGGCGGAGAAAAGAATAAAAGTCAGTAAGTACCTTCAGCCGGAGCGGGTCTTTGCTCCCCCTGGATCGGGCACCGAGGTTACTTTGTCCGTGTGTCGGGGGGGGGGTGTGTATTAATACGCACTAATGGCGTTTCTCTTGTGTATGAAGTATGTAAGAGAGGCAAGGGCGGCTGAAGTCAAGTCTTGCGATGTCACGTGTGGCCCGCGTGGCTGCTCTAGGACGGAAGCCTTCAGTGGCAGGCATCTCCTTATTTCTTCTACCTTGACACCCACATCTGGCTCCATCTGTAGGACCCATGTGGACTCAGCAGGGTTAGAGAGAAAGTATTTGGGGCAATTCCATCTCCAAGCTGTATGAGTTCCCCTCCCCTGCCATTACTCCCTAACCCAGGGCTTCCTAAACTTTCTACCTGTCACCCGTTTCCAACCATGAAATTTTTACATCACCTGGGAAATAGGCACATGAAGTAGGTATACAGGTCAAACAGCTGTTTGACTTAACTGTCAAGGAATAAAAATTCATTCCAGAGGGGTTCTTTGGTGCATGTTAATGATTAAAGATGGAAGGCTGGCTATTTGGCGTCGTAGGACATTGAGCATCTTAATGCTCACACAGCCCAGGATGCCTGCAACTTGTGAAATAGCACAAGGGGCCTTGAACTTGGGACTCTCCTGCATCTGCTTCACAAGAATATTTTGATTTTATAGTGTTTAGTGCTGAGAATGCTCCTTCCCTTAAGTATGGGAAATAAAATAGGCAAAGTATGTTTGGGGCTATTTAAGAAAAATTTGAAATTCTGTTTTAATCCGAAGTCAAAATCCATTTTAACCATTAAAAAAAGAAAGAAACTCGAGCTAGCCATTCAACAGAAAATTTAAAAACCGAGCATTGTAGCACAACATCATCTAAAGCTGCTGACGCGCTGATATGTGCTGAGGAGGGGTGTAGGAAGATTCTAGAAGCCTCTGTTTTCACTGCTGAGCCGCCATGTTTCTACAAGACCAGAAGGCATTGCGTGCGTGCTAAAATGCTCAGCCTATAACATACATTGTCTTTTTAAACTTGTAACCTTTTAAAGGAGACTTTTTAATGTGAAAATGCATCAACAAATACACATATATTCACATTCGCCTTTCCACACATAAGGGGAGGACGGATACAGAAAAGTGAATTATGATAGGGTGTGTTTCAAACTGCTTTCTTGACCTAAAATTATTCTTTTTTTTTTTTTTTTTTTTTTTTTTTTTTTGTTCTTAAATTATTTTTTTTTTTTTTTTTTTTTTTTTTTTTTACATGGTGGTTAAATGAATAAGCATGTAATTAATAGTGAAAGTGTACAGCCTGAGCTCCATGGCTTGGGAACGGCCGTTCTAATGTGTAGATAGTCACTGAGATGCAGGGTTTGGAAATGGCCATGTGTTAGAATGGGTGACTTCCTTAAACCAGCTGTGTGTGTGTGAGAGAGAGAGAGACAGACAGACAGAGACAGAGAGACAGAAAGTAGTTAGAATGAATTGATTTTATTTTAACAGTCCCGAACCCGAGCTGAGGTGTCTCAGTCCGTGTCATGAGGGCATGTTTGGCAAAGGCTGTGCTGTGTGTTCACTGCTAAGGCTGGGTGGGGTCAAACAGTATGCAGTGAACTTCCAGAAACATTCAAACTTGTTAAGGTTTGAATTGATTTTTGGCCACTGTATATTCTGAACCAAATTTTCATGACTCTACATTCAGTTGTGCGTCCCGAGTCAGGTGTCTCCCGTGGCTCAAAACAGTGTACCAACAGCTTGCACAGGAGTCAGCATTGTGGGTGACCTAGACCGGATTCTGAAGGACGCAAGATGTGAGCTTAGCCCCACAGAAATGCTGAGCCCTGTTTTAAGAGGGGCTGGAGCACCCTGAGATTGCACCCAGCAGGGGAGCCTAGAACAAGTATCTGGGCAGATACATACTGACAGATAATAAAACACGATTTATTTATTCATCCGACCGCTGTTCATAGAGGACCTGCCATGTGCTTTGGTTGGAGAAATTAATGGTGAGGATTTTAGCAGAAAATGTGTTCTTAAGGTGCTTTGGAGGCTGACTGTAGCTGAGGGGCACAGAGAGGCGTGGAGCCCTAGAGGCAGAGGAGGCGGCGCTGGGTGTGGGAGAGGAAGAAGGTGGCAGTCCTTTCTGTTTTACTAACTCCTGTGATAGTAGCCTGATGTGCTCTGTTTATGTAACAGTCTACCACCTCAGCCCCTTTTCTTGCTGTGCTATGATTTTTTAAGTTTGACTATGATCTGAAGTTTGTGTAAACATAATTTTTATTTCTTTCAGTTCAGAACTTCTATGGATCAGTTTGCTAAGGACGTGCAAGATTGGAAGAGCTGAGAGAAATCAGCGTTGAACCTTTTTCTTAAGGTGAGTAGGCTTACCCACAGCTGGTCATTTCTGGCGTCCTCACACCTGTAGTTAGCAGTCGGCACATCACATCTGAGAACTCACGGCACCTCCCTCCTCACAAGCATCTAAGCGCAGCATGGTGAAAGTGGGCCTGTGCAGGTTTACACACGTCTCCTGGGCACTCAGCGAGCCAGTCTTCGCCTGGCACCAAGTGGGCAGCGCAGCATAGTCGCGCCCTCTGGCTTTGGCCTTCTTACCCTGTGGAGGTGTGTGTATGTGAGCGAGCATGTTGACCCTCTAGTGACCCCGAAGGCGGAGGAAGGGTCTTCATGCGATTTACTGGCCTCCCTCTCCCCATCCTCTGGCCAAGTGGCAGTGCTGTTGCTGAACATGTGCTTAGTGGTAAGTGCTTGACTGACCTGCTCAGACTTACTCTGTAAGTTCTCATTTTGCCTCTGCCAGGCACTCCTCTGACCTGCTGCCTCCCGCACCCCTGGGCACGTCCTGAGAATAAGCAGTAGACAACGCCAGTGGCTAAGTGGAGGGAGGACAAAGAGGTCAGAGTGTCTTGCCAGCCAGTGGGGTGCTGAGTGGACACACACTGTCTGACTTTGTGATCGGCACATCTTTAGTAGTGTTAGAATGCTATTCCTACTGGGGGGTGCTGGCGAACACCGTTAATTCAGCACTTGGGAGTCAGAGGCCAGCCTGGTCTACAGAGTGAGTTCCAGGACAGCTTGGACTACACAGATCTCCAAAATCAAAACCAAAAGCTGGGTAGTAGAGGTGCACACCTATAATCCCAGCATTCAGGGAGAAAGAGGCCGGTTGATGTCTGTGAGTCAAGGCCAGCCTGGTCTACAGAGTGAGTTCCAGGACAACCAGGGCTACACAGAGAAACCCTGTCTTGACAAACAACCAAAAATAAAACTGTAAACAAAACACAAAAGAAAGCCATCCCTGTCACGGTGGTGACAGGGCACTGGAGCCTTCTGCTGGGTGACGGTGACTCTAATGTGTGTGAACCCTCAAGGAAGGAGAGGAGGGAGGTGCTTGCTTCTGAACGAGCAGCTTTCTGTAGGCTGACAGAAACGGTGGGGCAGCTAGCACACAGGGCTCCTGTTGTGCAAGGCCAAGGGCTGTGGGGATTTTAGAGCATCCTGGGATTTCACAGCTGTGAAGTAGGCATCGGGGCTCTGCGCCAGGCTCGTGTGTTTCCTGTCCTCTTCTGTTGCGGGATGAAGGCGTCCTTTGTGAAATGCATATTCTCTGGTTGTCATGCTGGAAGGCAGGCGCCTGCCGAAATTCTCAGGTTCTGCATTGTAGTCACGGTGGCTAACAGTGTTCCATGTAGGTGCTGGCTTTGTTTCATTGTTCAGATAGTGAAGAAACACATGTCTAAGAGCATCATTTAAAATATTAACATTGCCATGTGTTTTAATTCTAGCACTCGGGAGGCAGGAGCACGTGGATCTCTGTGAGTAACTCAGCCTTATCTGTCTACATAGCAAGTTCCAGGACAGCCAGGGCTGCACAGAGCCGCCCTGCCTCAGACAACAACTCCTCAAATAAAATTAAATAAGAGCATTACGGTGGCTGTGTCAGGGCATGTCTGCCCTCCTAGCGCTTGGGAGGTTGAGACAGTAGGATTCTGTTTTTGAGGAAGCTTTGGACTACATAGCTGGCCCCTGTCTCCAGAAATAATTAAATTGAGATATCGGAGTACATGGAATTAATAAAATAAAAACAAGTGTTAGATTGTGCCTTCACTTAATCACTGTGGCTGTCATGAGCCTGACAGCAGGAGCAGCACAGGGGAGTAACATGTGTTCATTTGGCTTGGGAGTCGTTCTTGCAGCTTGATACTGATAATGTCATGTGCATAGTGGCACAGCTCGTGCCTTGGTTTCTGCTTTGTGATAATGAGCCTTGTTTTCTTGGCCAGGGACAGCCTGTTGTACCTGGTTATACTACTTTTGGGGTGGCTGGAGCCATGTAAGAGTGAGGTGGGGTCCCTGTCTTCCTGTGCCTTTGGCTTCTCTTCTTTGGCATGAGAAAGGTGGTGGGATGAGATGGCTCCCGCCACACAGGCCTGCCTCTGCATCCGTGAGCACTGTGACTTGGCTGTCACAGGCGGTCACTGCCTTGAAACAGTGTCCCCCACCAGCCCATGCTTCTGTTCTGGTGTGCTGTTTTCTTCAGACCCCGTTCCCATCTTTATCGCTTTGTTTCCTGACTACCTTTTGTGGACCAAGCATACTTAGTCTGAATATATTTTACAAAATATATAAAACAACAACAACAAACAAACGCTTGAACATTCCTAGTCTGAAATCTGAAGTTTTCCAGTACCTAACACTTCCTGAGAATGGTGCTAAGTTTGGATTTTGGAATCTTTAGGGGTATAGATTTTTGGACTGGGGACAGCCCATTGGTAAAGTCTACATGGATATTAGGAATCTGAAAAGAAAATCCCGGAATCGGAGCCGCTTCAAGCCCATCCAGGGAGATGGCCAGCTGTGCTGCTGGGGTGGCAGTCCTTACCTGCGTGCTGACCGCGCTCTGCTGGGTGCTTTTCCTGCTCACCATGGAAACGTCTCACTGTGTGAGTCACAAGCTTTTCCACAGCCTTTCTTTCTCTCAGATCTCTCCAGCAGACACCCAGACTCCTCCTTCGAAGCAACTGGAAAATTAATTGCTCTTTTTCCCCTCTTCAGGTAAACACTCATGAGTGTGTGTAGAGTTTGAGGAATCAAGTGCTATTTGCTTGTCTTACCAAAGCGGCAGAATCTTTTCTGGATCTTCAATTCCTAGGACATTTACAGCCAATGATTCGGAGATTCCTTTCTGTCTGTAGAGGACAAGTGTGCTAGAGCATTACTGCGGACAAAGACACAGCCTGCCTGTTTAACAGACAGTGAGAGAGAGAAAGACAGAGAGGAGAGAGGATAGAGAGAGAAAGAAGAGAGAGAGGGGAGAGGAGAGAAAGAGAAGAGAGAAAGTGGGAGAGGGTGATTTTTCTTTCAGGTCTTCATGTATTTATTTATTTAATTAGAAGACCATACACTCTTTGTAATGGCGACCAGATGTGAATTTCTTTTTCTTCCCTCCGTCTCTTTCTCCTTCTTTTCTTCCCTTCTTTGGAGGCAACTGGCTCCCACACCAAGGCTGCAATAAGTCAAGGCCTCCCATTGCTTCAGAAGCAGAAAAATATGGACTAGACTTAAGTGGTTTGCAAATTCCCCATTTAGTTCTAGGGTCTGTGCGTCATGATCAAAGGCCCGAGGCTCTATCCATGGGGGCACATTCTTTCTGCCTTGGTGCCTGTGAGCAGCTTCTGCTAAACCCAGAGCTGCTTTAGTCTTCAGGAGACGCCACTGCTGCAGCGCCTTAGGGGCTCTGGGCAGCAGGATGTAGGAGGTGCTGGTAGAAGTTACGGCAGTGTTGAGGTAGAGATACAATTCCTTGTTGTCGACCGTACAGTAATGCCTTCCTGTTTACACTTGTATCAAAATGCAGATTGCCGTGGCACTGTCAGGTTTGCTTGTCTGCCTGGGTTTTCCGTTACTCCTTCCCATTGTCGTAATCCTGGCTCAGCCTTAGATCGTTAGGGCATTTGATGCGGTATTTAGATTTTAGAAGAAAAGGTCAGCAGCTGTCTTGCTGGGTTATTCTGGGTATTTTGTACTATATTTACTTTGGACCTAACTTTTCTCACCCTTGTTCGTTGATTAGCTGTTCCTCTCTTCGCCTTGGCCTCTGCTTGGTTGGACGCTGTTCAGCAACTCTGTATGTGGAATGCCAGTTAGGTTCGACAGATAAGTGTCAGGCTCTGAGGAGAGCTGGAACACAGGGCAGAGCCCTCCACTAGTGCCTCCGGTTCTAGGTCTGGGAATACTGAAGCAGAGAAGCCAGCCTCCAGGGCCTGGGCACTGAAGTCGTTTACTACTTGAAGAAAGCTCTCACCAAGAGGACATGTGGTTTCTGAGCCATTCTCCAAGGTTTTGAATAACTTGGAGGAATTTGAACTGCTTTATTCTTCTTAAATTTTGAAAATTGTACAAGGTATCATTTGCTTAAACAAGTGAGACTTTGAAATTGTTCTAGGAAAATTTTCCATTATGTGAGAACTGGCTGCCAAAGGCAGAAGGTGCCAAGGGGTCAATGCTCATATCCAGGATTGTGCAGAAATGCAGTTGTTAGTGACTTAGGTTGGATGTGTGCCTGGAGCTACTAGGCAGGGAGAGCCTCATACCATGAGACAGAAGGAAGTTTGCATGACAGCCTAGCCAAAGGCAGCCATGGGCAATTGGAGGGCATCTGAGATCTTCAACAGCCAAAAAACAGTGGCAGAGGCCCCAGGCATGGCACATACCTCTAAGCCTAACAGGAGGCTGAGGCAGGAGGATAGCGAGTATGAGGCCAGACTAGCTTACATAGTAAGGCCCTGTCTCAGAACAACAACAAAACCTTGTTAATGGGCTGTGCAGCCCAGATGGAGAGCATTTACCTAGCATTCGCAAGGCCCTAGCTCTGCAAAGAAAAAATTATACATTAAAATTATATGTGTGTGTGTATGAAACCATTAGTGTAATAATGTCACTCAAGAAGCAATGTATCAATGGCAGTAACAAAAAGCTCAGCCGAAGTCTTCTGTTTTTTTGGGTTTTGAGGCAGTGACTCACTATGTAGCTCAGGCTGGCCTCAAACTCACAAATTGCTGGCCTCAGCTTTCTACATTGCTGGGATCGCAGGCATATGTCAGCTTGCCTCCTTGACCAGTTATCTTTTTAAACATTTAGTGTGTGTGCGCGCGCGTGTGCGCGTGTGCAAGTGTGCGCGTGTGCAAGTGTGCGCGTGTGTGCGCGTGTGTGCGTGTGTGTGTGTCCGGTGCCCACGGAAGGCAGAAGAGGGCTTCAGATACACTGGAGTTAGAGTTTTAGATGGTTGTGAGGTACCATATGGTGCTGGGAACTGAACCTGTGTCCTCTAGCCCTAGGCCATTTATCTTAAAGACT